GTCCAGGTGCTCATCTCTTTCCTCCCCGGTCAATGACAGTCACCAATCCATGCCAGGTAAAATAATCAGTGCTTCAAATGCTCATCGCCAACCAGTCCTTATGGTCCTGGCTCCTTGTCCATTCCGGGGAGCATCAATTCGGTTCCTATTCCCCCGGCAACTCCTGACTGTGTCAGATCGAGTACATGAGTAGGAAACTGCCTTCCAAACGTGTGGTTGCTTCCACCTCCGCATTTTGGGGAAGCCTTAATATCAGAGGCGTTGCCTTCTTGGCCGTCTCGTCAAAGTATTTTCAAGGCATCAGACTTTGCAGTGGCTAAGACTCCCGTATATAACTCACTACCACAATGCCACGAGATAAACGTGTGTGATTTTGAGATTAAGCACAAGAAAGGATGTTACAATCGAGTGGCCGATGCTACTATGTCTCATCCTTGAATATATGAATGTCACGTTCAAGTCTCTGGACCTATTCTCTAGTCTTAGCAGAGTCATAGCAAAAGAGACTCCTAAGGACTCTAATTTCGGTCTTATCTTCATGCACTTGCTAGCTGACCCCAGTAGCCACCTAATTAGTAATTTCCACATTTATAAAAGTTTGCTGCTCTGCATACATTCCGACTGTGACCGTCTGCGTGGGCCTGATTGCAAGGCAATTTGTTCCAGAATTATTACAAGTTAATGTCACAAAAAACAAGGCAATTTGTTGCAAAATTACAGGTGAATGTAACGACAACAGCGGCCACTCTGGATTTTCAAACCGTACGTAAGCTTCCCCTCACTTTCCTCCTAGCAGTCTCACAGTCCTGATCCTCTCCTCCTCCTCGCACATCCTCCTCCCATAGTTATGGCAGCCTCGTACAGCTATGGCCACTCCTCCAGCATATCCACCCTGGCTGGCGCTCCCTCGGTCATGCTGGTTGGAGCCTTTCCTCACCTGAGCCTCACGAGCAGCAACCTGGCCACTACCAGAGGCAAGGCAGAATGCCCCCCCCCCCCCGTGGTCTGGCTGTCCTTATGTAGCGTGGACCGGCATTGACCTGCCCTGACGTATGAAGGACTCTGCGTATAAGTTTGTGGCAAGTTTTCAAGTCTGCCAACGAAATAAGATTCACCGGCAGCGACCTCTTGGTCTTCTCAGACCCCTTTTGCCATTCTTGAAGGTATCGGTGAGTTTGTCTCCAGTCTCCAGTGACTTCACTGACATCAGCAAGAAAAGCAAGAATCGGTTTTCGCAGATCGTGGTCTCTACAGAGTCAGTACAGACAGATTTTCCAAATTCATAACTTTGATCCCCTAACCATCCCATGCACGGACAGGCATTTCACTACCTAGCTCTATGAAGCGCAATTGGTCACAAATTCAAGTTACTTCAAGTTGCCGCCAGGAAACTAATGAGCAGCCAAAGGAAATGAAGCTAACGAACCAGATAGTCACTCAATTGTTGCGCTCAGCGCTCGCTTGTTATCCCTGACCAGAACAGTTGGGATGATGAATCACCGATTGAGCTATGCTGGGCCGTCGCCCGGCCTGGCATGCCCAGCCAGGCACACCTGGGCTAGTTGGGCAGGGGGGGAGGTGGGGGCGGCAAAACCAGATGGGCCAAAAAAGAGATAAGGATCCCAAAGACAAAAACAAAAAACAGACTTCAGACCAGGACTGCGCTTGGACTAAGCAGTCAGAATCCGGTCTTAAATTTGATTTTGGTGATGGGTCATCCAGGGGGCTTTGGGGGGTATAAACAGTGACTAAAGAAAGGGGTTTAAAAGGGTACATTTGGAGAATTTTGGACTCATGTTTTCTAATTTATTTTTGATCTCAAACTTAACAAGCATTTTTTATTTGTTTTTGTCTTCTCCTCATCAGGGGACAGCTGTATATATTTTCTCTCACCTCACATATCTTTTTCCTTTCACGACCTACCACTACTCCTAAAACTATACAGGGGATCCCTGCAAGCATAGCTTTATACCATACTTGTGGCGCAGCGCACTGTGCGTGGACCGCCCAGGACCCTGCCGGGACCCTGCCCACCCCGGGCTGCCCAGGAGGGTACCCGAGCCGTCCGGGGACCAACACAGCGATTGAGACAAATTTGTAGCACTCCATAAATTCTGTTACAGCTTACCGGTATGACTGGATACCAGTTGCAGATCACTTGGCCAGTTTGCAGTCTTACTGCTTGACCAACACGATTACGGCACCGAGCACCGGAAATTGCTGGCTCACGCGATCTCAATAATGCGTAAACAACAGGATGTCCTGGTCCAGTAAGAGAATAAGGGGCACAGACCTGCTATATTCAAAGATGAAGACTACGTCTTGATCAAAATGTGTGATTTTTCCGATGAGGAAGGAGTGTCATGTACATTGTTGCCCCTCTACCATGGACCTTGGCCTATCCTCAAGGTTCTAGGAGATGAGCATCGCAACCTGGTTACGGCACCGAGTACCGGAAATTGCTGGCTCGCGTGATCTCAACAATGCGTAAACAACAGGATGTCATGGTCCAGTAAGCGAATAAGGGGCACAGACCTTCTATATTCAAAGATGAAGACTACGTCTCCATCAAAATGTGTGAGTTTTCCGATGAGGAAGGAGTGTCGTGTAAATTGTTGCCCCTCTACCATGGATCTTGGCCTATCCTCAGGGTTCTAGGACATGAGAATCGCAAACCTTTCTACAACGTGGATGTACCTCCACATTTGCATATGTAATATGTAATATGTATGGAATATTCCATGCTTCCAAAGTCTCTCCTGCACTACTTCAAATGATTTCCCCAGCAGGCCCTCTATGATTCCACGACCTAGCAATGGTGGTTTTGAGGTGGGTCCCATACGTGAATACAAGGGCAAGAGACGTAACCGCAAACATCTTATGGATTTTGCTTACTACCTACCTCGTATTGTCAATTCATACGAGCACAGACAGGCACGTGACTATAACACACACGAGCATACACTTGCACTTTTCGCATTTTGTGTTTACGACACCTTCCATCCAAAACCCTAGGTTCTCTCTAGCTCGAAGGAACCTTGCTTCTGGGCCGATGAGAGTGCAATGACCCGCACAGAATCAGTCTGAGATCTCTGCAGTTACCTAAGTATTGCCGATTATTGGCTTTGATTTGCTGAGATGTGTGTGTTCCGAGTGTGACTACTGTTTGCCAGAGTGCGTCCAGGTCTCTATGTGATGATTGCTTTGACGTGAACTAGTTCTGCTCTCATCCTGTGTTTTCTGCATCCGAGGCCGGTAGATCTACAGGGGAAGGACAAAAAATGGAAACCGGAGAGATTATAGAAAGGCCAAGACGGAAAAGGACAGAAGCAGAATTTGGCAAGTACCCACGGCCAGTAGGGGTTCCCGGCAACTTGGATACACCCAAGTGAGTCCATAATGCTTAGGGACGTCTGATAGCTTCCACAAAAGGTGATGATGATCCAGGGACGAAATTTAGTCAGATACCAGGTTACATTCGGGCCCTCGAGAGAGTTGCAGACTGCAATGATATTCCTACCCAAACGCAGGAACTTTCAGGTTGGCACAGCACACCGGTAGAGAAAGGTAGTACCCGGAGTACAAGCACTGGAGGCCGAGACTTGCGAGTACATCGTTCGATCACCCGGAGTAAAAGTACTGGAGGCCGAGACTTGCGAGTATACCGTTCGATAAAATGAGTAAGCCAGGTCTTCTTCGGACATTGCCCTGGCAGCCATGCCAATGCTCTGCCCGGAGGGTGAGTTAGGGGGAGCTCTGGCTGAAGCAGTCGATCACCATGGCTACGGAAGAGTACAGGAGAATGGTGTAGGCCTAGGCTATGGCGGTAGAGGGAGAAGTACCTCAAGCTACGCAATGTAAGAGGGAGGAGGAAAGAGTAGATGTGAGGAACAGGAACAAGGCATGAACCAGGCTGGGAGGCTTACCTTTGGCAATGGTGGACCTTCATCTCCACTTCCTTGGTTGGTGCTGCATCTAGAACGCCCCTGTGAGGGTAGCGGCTAGTCTAGGACGTCATGCGGGAATGTGGCTATAGCGGCATGAGTCATGAGAGACACATTCGCAGTTACATTGTCCTTCAAACATCCGTTGTTTGCCAGGATGTCCGTCATAGCTAGTCGGATACCAAGAGAGGAGAGAAGAGAAGAGTGAGGCTGAAAGGGAAGCTCTTGAGTGCTGACAGCAAGGGGGGTTCCTCGAACATAGTTCTTGTTCATTCATTCACCATTAATGTACACCCTATGGTCAGGTGTGCCGCCAAACCCACAAGGTAAACTCCTTTCACCCTCCCCTCTTCCTCCCCCCCCTCCCCTCCTCAACTCCCCACAAAAAAACTAACAGCACAGAGCACACCACAACAAGGCATCTTTTCATCATCACAGAGTAAAAGATGTGAGGGCATGAACACAGGCAGAGGCACAAGGACAAAACAAACAAACAAACAAAAAAAAAAAACAGCAGCATCTGCAAAGGAAAAAAAAAACGTCGTTCGGGGAGCAGGATACTACGCTTAAGATGGTGAAGGAATAAGAGAAGAGAAGGACCATGGCATTGAGAATGGAGAGTGGGTGATGATTTTGTGAGGATGAACAACTGGAGCGCCGTAAGGTGAGGTGTGGGAGTGCTTACACTGGTGACTGCGAAAGATTGTGAACAGAAAGCGGAGAGTGGGATTCATGTATAGATAGGTCACTTCGACGTTGACGATTTGGCGAGCGGATGTTCAGGTACTCTATGGAGATCGAGGAGGGGAAGTTTGAGCATCAAGCTTCAGACGAGTTAAAAATTGAGAAGAATTGGACCAGGGAGTTGATGAATGTGAAAAAAAAAAAAAAAAAAAAAAAAAAATCCTGGAGAGGGACAGAGAAGATTAGCATGGGCACTTGTGCAAGGAAGACACGCAGAGAGAAATCGAGAAACGGACCAAATTAAAAAAACGAAAAAAAAAGGACGAAGGGAGGCCAGGGAGCAGGTCAGGGGTTACTTGATAGGTAACTGACAAGCTGAGGACCGGCTGCATCGCAAAGAAGACAGCTGGCACATTGAATTTATCGAAGAAGATCTCTCCCATTTTTTCTCTATCCACCACAGGGTTCAGGGCAACTTCTGTCAAAAGCACAGGATGCTCCTCGGGCTGCACGTAGTCAAAGTTTTCCACCATCATTGCCAAGGAACAATATATGGAAGAAGACAGCTCATTAGCACCATTCGCATACTCGGGGGACAAAAAAAGGACCAAAAAGAGGACCGAAAAAAGAACCGTCAGGCTTCAGCATTACAGCATTACATGGAAGAAGACCTCAATAGGATCACTCAGAGTGAAAAACTGGAAAACGAAAGGAAAAGGACCATCAGTTTCGGCATCATTGCATACAGCTGGAGAGGAGGCTTGTGTTTTTCTGGCGTACATGTTTGTTTGTTTGTTTGTTTTTAAGGGAGGGGAATGCCTCTAGGCTCTAACATTGCCGCATCAGCAAGCACATGTGTGTAGCTGGTGTTCACAGGTCATCCACAAGCCAGACAAAGTAATGAATTTCTTCTTTTTTGAAGTTTTTTTTTCTTTTTTTCTTTTTTGCAAAATGCCCCTTCTATTCTGGGGGGCTCAGTCCGGTTGCTCATCACTGGCAAACAGGTTTTTGGATCTGAAAAAAGGAGGGGGGGAGAGTAGACAAGACAGAGGGGCAGCCCGTCTCTTGTGCCTGGCAAGCGGGGAACTGTTTTGGGGCAACCCTCCCCCCTATCCTTACCCTTTCAGGGGGCTTGCCCTACTGGCCGGGAGGCTTACTGGCAGCACCCAGTCACGCAGTAGGGCAGCCCTCAGATAGGCAGGGTGCGGGGGGGTCTGCTCCTAACAGTTCCTCAGGCCGCTTAACATCCTGTTATCTGTTTCTAATATCCCTCATCACACATAAACCCTACATTACCTAGACCTACTTTTTTTTTTTTTTTCAGAGTTTCTGTCATGCTCTATTTCTGGCAACTCCCAACAACCCTCACCACCCACAAACCCCCTCCACTTGGGTGAAACAAATGCTGCAGTGCAGCTGCAATACGACAGTTCATGAAAATTTTGCCCCCAGATGTTTTGGAGAATTGCTGGAGAAAGAGGTCATAAGGCCTGTTTTTCAAAGTCTATTTTTCTTTGTTGACGGTGTGAGCAGGGTTTATCATTAAACCGGAGATACTGAATTTGACAACAAATCCTACATAAGTAAATGTCCCAGGCCCTCAACCATTGTTACCCCCACACACACACTTCTCTCTCTTCCTTGGTACCCTTAGAACTTAGGTACGTAAGTTCCAAGGGTACCACGGTAGGATACGTGCAACAAGGTACCAAGGTATCTACGCACCAATGTAGTAATATACCAAGGTACCTTGGTTCCAACGGTACCGAAAGTAGCATTTGTGTAACAAGGTACCAAGGTACCTTAGGTACCAGGGTTCCAAGGTAGCAATGCACCAAGGTACCTAGGTTCCACACACATACTTCTCTCTCTTCCGCGGTACCCTTGGAACCTAGGTACGTAACTTCCAAGGGTACCATGGCAGCATATGCGCAACAAGGTACCAAGGTATCAAGGTACCAGGGTTCAAATGTACCAATATACCAAGGTACCTAGGTTCCAACGGTACCGAAGGTAGCATTTGTGTAACAAGGTACCAAGGTACCTTAGGTACCAGGGTTCCAAGGCAGCAATTCACCAAGGCACCTAGGTTCCACAGGTACCAATGTAGCCTTTGTGTAACACAGTACCGAGGCACCAGAGTTTCAAGGTAGCAATATACCAAGGCACCTGGGTTTGGAGGGCACAGAGGCTTCCTCTATAGCGTCGCGGGCGTAGTTCAAATTGTAGAACGCATGTTTTGCAAGCATGAAGTTACCGGTTTGAGTCCGATCATCTCCAATTTCCCCGTGAGCCCACGCAGCTCAGGTGGTAAAGCATTCCCTTGGTAAGGCAAAGGCCTCCGGTTCAAGTCCGGTCGTAGGCTCCGCCTTAAATTGAGAGGTATCAATGTACCCATGGTTCCAAGATACCATTGTACCTAGGTACCCCAGACAACCAAGGAAACAAGGTACTTCAGTACCCAGGCCAATGTTCCACTGTACCTTGGAAGAAGGTACTCCGTCACAACAGGATTACGAAAGAGATCAAATCAGGTTAAAACTTAAAAGGGCATCCTCACAAAGAAACTTCCATTGGTTGAATCTGAATCTTTCTTTTTTTTAATACTGAATGAAAGAAAGCACATGGTTTAAATCACTTGCCGGCAACCAGCCAGTCTCCCTTACATGGCTTACCCACTCAATGCTTCCCTCTGTTATGGCCGAGCAACCCTGAGGCTGGGGCATATGATTGTTTCCTGAAACGGAAGGATTCACCCTTGCTGGATCCCTGCTCTTCTTTCTCTATTACTATTCCTAGTATTTCTGCCTGGAATCGCTAGTCCGGCCCTGCACTTCACCCCTCTCAGCTCCATCAGACTGCCTGCCTGATTTGTTCGTTCGTATCTTGTGCTGATTCAGAAGACCTGACTTTGAAACCCATGATGGTTATAAGCCTATAAGCCTAATCTTGAATCTGCATCGCAGATTCCTAAGCATCCTAACCTTCATTACCTTTCTATATTTTTCAAGTGCGGACCATACCGCTCTTTCTCTCGCATTGCAAATTCACTTAAAGGTGGTCAACAACAAGAAGACGAGACAGGAGTTGGAAGAAGAACTGCAAGGGAGGACAATGAAATTTTTTTAAGGGAGATTCAAAAAAGAGTTTAAAGAACAGATTTGCATCGACACACATCGACCTGAAAACACGTGCCTCCTGACAGCACACCATCCCAGCTGCTCGCAGTTATGGGCTCTTTCCCATAGGTTTTCGTGCCTGTGCTCGTTCACAGGAGCTCCACCCTTTTTCAGTTGGTGCATTCGATTGATGATCACAGGTTTACCTTTTTCCCTGTCATAAGTGATTACGTCAATCTTTCGCAAGGTAGTAGTGGTTTGAGCATATGCATTACGTATATATATCCATACCCACAACGAAGTGGTTGCTCCAGACATAAAAGCAGAAATGCTTGAATCGAAAATGCTCAGCAAATGGATATCACCCTCTCACACCCTCAGTGTGTAGCGTCCGATGTCCATCTTGACGCACTAACACATCAGCCAGAGTATTTTACGTGATATTCCCATTTCTTAGGCCTCGTCCGCCTTACCCTTTGTTGTTATTTCTGCATAATACTTTCAGAATTTAGCAATGAACTATTACAAGTGTTTTGACTCTTTACCGCATTCCCCACAAACTAAGCCTCTTCGCTTGGCCATGAGGATGAACAGCTTCTCTCCATCCAACAGAGATTTTCGAGGATATGGGTCCTCGGCAGTCCTAAGGGGCCCCTTGCAGCATATGTGCCCGCCCTAAGTGAAGGCGGGCCTAACAAATCACGACAGGCCCTTGGTTCTCAATTTCGCATTTGGGGGTCCAGGCAGTTTCGTCGCGGCAGTTGGTTGAAGGGAAACACAGGCCAAGCAGAGTGGAAATTTTCCAGGCCTTCTAGGCCTTTCCAAAAGCTCAGGCCCTGGGCCAGATTCGCAGCCTCGTACATAGACAGTTGAGAGGCCCAACCGAACGAGGCCCAGTAGCTGCACCAGAGGCGCAGCATCCTGGGGCCTACCGGAAGCTTCTGGGCCCAGGCCAGTCCAGTCAGGCTGCCGAACGAGGCAGGCTCTTTCCATATAGGAAAGAGCTCGCTGCCTGGCCAGGGCATTTGGGCACTTGCTGGCTGGCGGCATTGCTGCTGGAGCGATAGCTCGCGTGCTGGCTGCTGGCATTGGAGCAACAGGCTGCACACGTGCGGTCGTGTGGTGAAGCAGGGCGCTGCTGAGGGCAGCGCCATAGCCCAGCCTCCATAGCTGTCTGTGGGCTTGGACATACAGTGAGGCGCAGGGGTGATCTTCGGGTGTAAACAGGGAAGACGTGGGAGAAAGTCAAGAGACAAAGAGAGAAGGATGGTGATGATGATGATGTGAGGGCACATACCTGGTATTGGCGATGGTTCTGCATGGGCGACATCTTCAAGTACTTCGGGTGCTGCTGACGTCAACAGTTGCATTGTCAATTCGTAGGCTAGTAGTAGCTGTGTAGGGACTAGGCTGGGCGCCGAGCGCCAGATAGGGAGATAGGGACTGGATACATATGTTGGTGGTGGCAAGAGCAAGCTCCCATTGACATTGGCTTTCAGTGCTACTATTCTCTATTGGTGTCATATTGGTGCGATGCTACTTTCTGAACAGTGTTACGATCTGGCTTTCAATGTGATTGTGCAATCTGAATATTGTTACCCCGCTTCTGTTCATTTTCCTTGCACCACCAACTTCGCCGACGGTAGACGAAGTCGCGGTGGGGGACATGCTTGGCTACGTTGACAAGGTGGCCCGCGAGTTTGTCTCGCAACGGTACGAAGAAAACAACGCACCGTTGCTCTACGTTCGCATTCAGATTGGGCAAGCGGCCTGCAACGCTTTGCTAGATTGCGGCTCAACTCGCAACTTCATCAGCCAGTCCTTCATGACTCGGGCTGGCCTTGGCGCACAAGTACGGAGGAAGTCACATCCGACGACGGTCGCTCTTGCCGACGGTAAGACGAAACAGCTTTTAGACCGTTACATCTCGGCTGTCTCGGTGTACTTTGCACCGCACGCATGTGAACCCATCACTTTTGACGTGTTGGACACCGACTTCGATGTCATTTTGGGGATGCCTTGGCTTTCTAGCGCGGACCACACGGTCAATTTCCATCGACGCAAGCTCACGATTCGTGATGCAACTGGCGCCGAGGTCCCGTGTACTATTCCTCCTCCTCGCTCTTCCATTCGGTGCCAAGTCGTGAGTGCCAAATCTTTTCGAGACACATGCCGTTCCGAGCATGTCGAAGAGATTGGCATCGCTTTTCTTCGAACCGTCCCAACGACCGACTCATCGTCCACGGATGTGTCTTCCGACCCCCGTGTGACCCGGTTGTTAGACGAGTTCTCGGATGTTTTTGAGACACCCTCCGGTATAGTGCCAGACCGGCCGATCTCTCACGAGATCATACTTGAGGCCGGCGCCGTGCCACCGAAGGGATGCA